AAATATTTGTCATTTGGCATCTACTAAATGGAGCTCAATTGTAGTCTTTATTGGGGTGAAGACAAATAAGTTTTTTTCCACACACAATACAAATCAAATTTTTCTTTTGTCAATGGGTTTCATATAATATATTATTTGCTGAAATTGCTCGTGTCATCAAAGATTTGTCTCAAGATTTCAGTTACTTTTGCTTTAAAATGCATTTCAGTAAAGGTGCTGTTGAAATATGATAAACATTGTCATATCAAAGAATTATTTTATCTAGCTCAAAAGATTTTTGAGGTGTGTTACACAATTCCATTAGAAAGTCTTGTTTCGCCAAACATTACAAATGTTTGTTTTTTTGTCAGTGAGAAAACAAACTACATTCCATTTTTTTCTCAATGTGTATAGATTGTAAGTACATGTTGTCCTGTGCGTTTGTTTTAGAATATGATATGTAAATGTGTTCTCGAGTGGGCTTTGGATTTGTTTTATTTGTGTATGCTCGACGAATGCTGTAAGGTGTTTAAAAACTGTTGCTCAGCGTGCACTGTTGTGCCTCATTTTTGTTGTGAGTATAGGCATGCTCAGAAACCACATCAGAAAGAAAGAAGAGTGAGAGTGTTTACATTGTGTGTATAGTATATGGTTGTGTGTGTGGAGTTGAAATCAACTGGATTGCAGAAAAAGAAATTGAAATTTTGGTTAACTTTATCAGAGCAAATGCTGCCCTAGAAATGTTTTTGCTCCACTTTGATTTGTCAAAAGAATTTACAACTTTTTGGTTTCAAGAGTCAAGCAGTGACTTGCTGGGTTTTTGTTCTCCTTTCTTGTGGTTTTTTGACATTTTGACATGATGAACAAATGGGTTTTTTTAAAGCAAAATGATATTTTCTCCATTTTGAGATGAAGTCTTTCAGCCTGCTGCCTGCATGTGAAGTTCAAAACAATCATTTTGAGCTGGTATTTCTTGTCACTCGTGTACATGGAGAATTGTGGGGGTAAATTGGCCATATAAATGCAATAATTATTATAAATGTGAAAGAGGTATATTGGTCTTCCCAGTCTCTTGATTTCAGTGTGGATTAAGTTCCAGAGAAATGGGTATAGTAGCGGGTGTTGGTGGGTGCTTTATATGTCAACTCATTCCCTAATGAACATTAAAGTTGAAGAGGAATTGAAAGGGGAGAGTCGGGTTTCTAAGATGACCTTTTGCTGATTAAGAAATGGGAGAAAGCTAACAATCTTTTGGCGGGGGAATAGACTTTCCCCTCAAGAATGCTGTAATTTGAGGTAAGAAAGGGGGGGCACTTTTTGTCAACGCTCTACGAATTTAACAAACATGAGAAATAACCTGTCTCTCAATTGGTCCTTTCAATGTCTGGGAAAGTGGAGTTGAGTTGTCTTGTAACGAATGTTTAGTTCACTTCTCTGTCCTGCCCTTTTTTTATTTTACTGATACTGTTACGACTGTTTGTACTTCTACTATTATAATTGTAACAGAAGTTTGCGTATTTAAAAAGTTTTCCATTGCCTCCTGAACTTGCGTAGATGATCAACTGCCTGCTGTGGTTGGACTGATTATTGAACGGACTCTCCTTTTTTCATTTTCATGTTTTTTCCCCCTCACTTGAGCCTGTCACATGTAAAGGTTTGTTATTTTGTCTGTTGAATTGCATGTTTCATTTTTTTTCCCGTTATTGCGTGCGCTTTTTTTTCCCCCTTCATCTTTTTGTTTTCTTTACCTCTGCTTTGTTTGATGCCTTACATTTGTTGATTTTGTAAAAAAATAAGAATACCAAATTCCTTCATGTATGATTCTTTTTCATGCGTTTTGTTGGCTACTGTTTTAGGAAGACTATTTTAGGGTGATTTGAACATTTGCTGACAAGGAAAGAAAAATGAAAAAAATAAATGTGATATATGTTCTACTCCATGATATTTGTCTTGTTTATCATTTTTCTAAAAGTAAAAAGAAAGTTTATATGTTATGCCAAGGCAAATTCTTTACTTTTTTCTTTGTTTACTTCAACATGTATTATTTCACTTTTCTGGCAGGTGGATGGAGGGTGGCACTACTAGTATGTCCTACTTCTTTAATTTCCCACTTTTATTTCTGTCCGTCATACTTTTCACCAACACTAAATGACTGGTGGGTGGTTAGTGGGTGCTCTGGTGTAGTGTATTCTTTTTTTTCCTATCAAACGTCATTCTTGTCTCTCCTCTTTCTTTTTTTGTATTTGTTACTCTCTTGTAACACTTCAGATCTTCAGCACTTAAATGACCTAATTGTGTTGCATGTTCTATCTGTATAAGCACTTACCATAAAACTAAATGACAGCTATTTTTTCGATGTGTTTCTGTCGGCTGGGACAAAAGTTTTGAAATTTATAAATCCTGATCCTGCACGGAGACAGAACTTTTTGTTGTCTCGTCAGAGGTTTTCAAACAATATGATGAAGGCCCCGACTATTGGTTTTTGCACCTTCAAGGGATGAACCCATGGAGTTCTCTGGCATTGTCTTATTCTTCTTTTGTAGATACAGGGAATATAAGCATGCCAGTTCCAAATGCCTGTCCATTATGATAGACAAGAGCCAAATGAAACCAGGTGATGATTTGCTGTCAAAACGGCTAAACTTAAGTTGATGTGTGTGAACACAAGAGCCGTGTCAACCACGATAGACAGCGTTTTGTCCATGTGTATGAAAGTGAAAGGGGCCTGATGGGTGGCACTGACTGGTCCCACCTCTCGCAGTTTGGAGACAGGTCAGATACAAGGTGATGCAGAGATAACATTTTGTTCATTTGATCTGAGTAATTAAAGACGTTCCGAGAACAGAACTTTAGTAATACAGTGGAACTCGGATATGAGCTCCGATTCAACGAGAACTTGGATTCAACGAAATGAGATAGATTCCCCGGTTTTTTTCTTCTTTAAAATCAATAAAAATTACCTGGATTCAACGAGCACTTAAATCAGCGAGCTCGGATTCAACGAGGTCGCTTCCAGGGCGAACAGCCCCCACAGACGTGGCTTCGCTCATTTTTCTCCCAGAACCAACGTTATTTATTCCCGGAAACCATCCGTTGCCCTGCATCGTGAATTACTGTTCACTTAGCCGATTGAATGCGACCAATCAGCGGCCTTTTTTTCAAACGAACACATGCGTTGTTGGCACACGCACGTGTATACTCTTGATGTGTGTCGGGGTCGGATGGGCGGCCTGCACACGTGTGACTGTGTCAAGGAGTGGGGGGGGGGGGGGGGGGGGGGTCCCCAGCGGTCCGGGTGCTGAACGTTGCAGATACAAACGTGTGAGTCTTTTTTTCCCCCAGCAACTGATCATTATTATATAAGCTAGTATTGACGGAGATCTACATAATGAATTGAGCGCTCGTCTATGGAATCAAAAGTTGCCGTGTTCTTAGGCTCTACACAGCAACACAACTTTTTGACTTACAATTGAGATGACACAGGCGTGCATTTGAACGAATTGGTCTTTTTTTTACACAGCTCATAATATGCAGGCATTTCAGGCACTACTTGTTACTTCTCTTTACATATTACTTGCTCAGTGCCTGTAATTATCTACACAAAACCTCATGTTTGCTATAACGAACACTCGGAATCAACGAGGTTTAAGGTCAGGCCCCGCAACCTCGTTGAATCCGAGTTCCACTGTAAAATGGAACAGAGGAATAAAATATAAAGAACCGGATTTTTGTTGTGTTGAAAGTATTTCTAAGAAACTGTCCAGACTTTTGTAACTCATAAATACAGTCGAACGTGCCATAACGGCCACGTATATAAATGGCCTTTTTCCATTTCCCAAATTTTTTTCAATGTGTCACGACGTGGTGGAATCAGGCTGTCGTCAATTTTTCGGCATATGGGGTTATAGGTATCATTTTAAGGCCTGTTCATTTGCTTTGCTTTTGGTGAACAAATTATCCATCAATGTTGAAAAGAAGTCGAAATATTTGCAATTGAAGGATGCCAGGGTTCGGCTGGTTTCAGAGGTAAAATAAGCGAGAAAATGGCTGTCAAAATTTGGTAATTTCCATAGCTTGAGTGTCCTTGAAAACTGAAAATTTACATTTTTTGGTGCTTTTAATCAAAGTTTTTCAAGTAAAATCCACACAGAAAGGTGTTTTTAAATGTAAAAGATGTTTCTCAAAGAAAAATTAAATTGGGAAAAAAAACGGACAGAAAAATGCCAATATCTTTGATTTCATTATTTTGACGAACGCCTGATTTCACCACGATGCGTCACATACATAGAATTTTTAGGGTGCACTGTGTAAAACGGTCACCTGTCCAACAGGACCACGGCCACCATATTTTATCAACTTACAACCAAAAAATCCTGCCGGGCAAATCTTCCATTGCCCAACACTTTGTCATAAATTATGTATAGGCCTCTGAGGTTGTGGATGAGCAGTCATAATCAATTCACCTGTTCTCGTTATTGTTAATCCCTCCAATGATCACTTTGTTTAGGTCACTCCCAGTGTTTACCTAAGTTGACCAGTAAATAATAATACATTTTCAGCTGATGGGAAGGCGAAGACCCATTAATTTGTTTGTTTTACTATGGCATTCCTCGACAGACTCATTTCTTTTTGTTTTAACCTTCCATGAAACCATAATAAAAATAATAAAACTTACAACAAAAAAGTCCCACTAAAACCTTCCTCTCCCCTCCCCCATTTCAAAAGAAAAAAAAAGCATTTTTATTAGTCTTACGGCAGTCTTAAGCCTGCTTCCACCGCCAGTTGAGACCTCAGTAGTAAATGCATTTGTTTACTTCATTTTGATCAGTCGTGCATATGATGGCCACCTGTCTTATTTGGACACTTTTCTCTTCGACAATGCCTGGCTGTTTTACGCAGGTCCGATTAAATCAGAAAAACCATACATTTATCAGAGGAATGTCATAAAAAAGATGCAATAAAACAAGTAAGATGTCTGTACTGTGTACAAGTAACGATATGAAAAACCCCCAACTCAAATGGATATGAAACCCAGTCGGTATCTATTGACATAACATGAAATGAGTAGGACTCGAAACAAAAAAACACATAATCTTTGTTCTTCAAAGATACAAAACTTTTAAAAATTCTTAAATCACAGAGTAAAACGAAGCTCACAAAGATCATATATGAGCAGAACATATCAACTACTCAGTGTAAACTCTGTCCTGCTTGACTTTTCAAAATGGCGTACAGCAGAGTCTTACATTGAGCTGTCGATATATATCGTGTATACATGCACACTTTTAAAACATAGTTATAGACCAAATTCCTTCCTCTTTCCCATTGGTTCCTTAATTAGTTTCTCTCATATAAAATTGAAGAGGATTTTACTGGCCACTTAATTGCGGCATCAGTGCTCTTGAGGTTAGGCTATTTGGCTCAAAACTAAAAGCTTATGGTTTTAAACCCCATGGGGGCCAGACGTGTCCCTGGTAAAGGCATTTTACAATTTCTCTACCATGGAGTGAAAAAATACAATCTCACCATTTGTTCATTATAAATAAAAGAAGATCAACGACACAGTAACAGTAACAGTAGATGAGTCCCATAAAAAAAGCAAGAACACAGGCAGACAGAAACATCAGAGGGGATAGTCAAGTAAGACATACCAAAGGCAGCCTTCAATCACTCATGTACTCACTTCATGCACTCGGAGTGATTCTTGCCCGTTTTAAGTTAAATTCACTTTCATTATCACAGAGAAAAGGGAAAAAGGAAAGTGTAAAAAAAATAGATATATACTAAAGAATTGGAAATATATACATGTACACAAAAAATGTTCCAACACTCAGTGGTAAGAAATGATACACTAATGGTGGCCCTGGTTCAAATTCCCAATCGGGTGTTCTTGAACTTGGATCACTTTGTGGAGTTTTCAAGGCACTCTGCTCTACACATTTGGCTGGATCCTATCGGAGACGGGTGTTAAATTTGGAGGACCTGCCTCTTAAATAATCTTTGTGTTAAGAGGGGCGCTAAACCTATACCGTGACATACAACAACTAATAAAGGATGTTTGAGGTAGCAGTGACATGCAGCTGGCAGCTGATCTTTTATCAAGTACAAATACAAGGTTAATGTCTTGACAAGACATTTTCCATCTATGAGGAGCATGGTATAGATACAAAAATGGTCACGAACAGCAAAATTCTGTCACAGGCAGGTTTTTTTTCCTTCTTTTTACAGCTTCATCGACACATTTCAGACCATTTACCTGAGGCTATAACCCTATTGTTGAGGCCAACCCAGACTAATCGGGATACAGCGCCCCAGCAGAAACCCCAATATACTTGGTAAAAATTCTCCTCACAAGGGAATCAATCAAACTTGGGTCTTGTGCATGCAAGGGAAAAACACCACAGACATCAGCTCACAAGCAGTGACAGAACTTTCCATACTGCATAATAATTTTGACAAAATGGATTATGGCACCCTTCAACCACCCAACCGTTAACATCATCCAGCACTTTAAGCAAATCTAGTTGATTACTGTATCAATGAAATGTTTAACTGCTAAGCTTTCTCCTTTCATCTTTTACTCTCTCTCTCTTTTCTTCCGCTTTAGCATCTAGATTTTCTCTTGATCTCTATCCCCCCTCTCCTACACCTTTCTGTTCCTCACCACTAGTACATCCATGCCCAGCATCCACAGTTGACACTACGATCTACAGTAAATAATAACTCTCCATTAACAACCGAGAACAATGAATGTTGCACCCAAATTGTAAACCTTGAACAAAAAATTCAGAAAAGTAACACAAAAAAAAGAAATAACTTGATGGCAGACAGACAAATATCACCCCCCCCCCCTCCCTGCAAGATAAACAAAACACCTTTTATCATTAAACAATTAGGCCTAGCAGACTGAGGTTGAGGTCATTCGATTCATTTGTTGAAGCTTTCAGCGAATTCTTGCAGCTTGGTCATCAGTTTCTCATCGTCCCCTGAGTTCGATTTGGTCCAGGCCAGAGGTAAATGTATTGGCACAGGCTTGCGATCTGTGAACAGTAGAAAATATATAGGCCCTACTGTGTAATATAATAATAATAATAATTTTTGACACTGATAACAGTTCGTCCATCACAAAGTCATGATCACCTTTAACATTCAAGGAGGAAAAGAAGTTATTAGACCTGCATGTTTGCCAACAATCGTCTGAAATCCAACAATCGCGACCCGACCCGCGAGCCGGACGATGCTATCGCTAGGCCCACCTGTATCAGTCAATGTGCGTAGTGCGAGACCTGGCCTTGTCGGCACTTTCGATTTCGTGCCGACGTCGGCGTTTCCGACATAATTGTCGGAACCTGAGTAGAAATGCGAATACGAAAAAGGACGACGACCTAAATTATCTACTTTCAGTTTCGTACTCGAGCGGCCATTTTGAATTTTGTTTCTTGACAAATTCAATTGTTCAGATCGTGTGGATTCATTCAAGTCCGACTCACTAAAATTGTTCTAATAGAATCTAGATCTAGATTTATATAGATCATTATAGACCTCAATGGAGGATTCATATTCCAATTCTATTGTGTCAAACCATATCATAGGTTGTGCTGTAATATTAATGTTGGTAAAAACTAAAAGCATTTCATCAGATGCGTGAATTATTTATTTATTTAGATTCTAGACTCGGCTGAGTCCCTCTGTTCGGAATCGGGTGCGGATTTCTAGTTCAAGGCCTATTCCTATTCACTTGTTCTACGAGAACTAGATCTAGATTTATTTAGATTACTAGATCTAGATCTATATATGGAGGATTCATATTCCAATTCTATTGTGTTATTGTATTTAACCCTATTATAGCAACGTAGATGTAGGCCATATTTTATGCTCCTTTTGTTTGTTTTGGAGTGAAGTTTTTAATGTTTTAAATTTTTTCATTTTGGACTTGTGCTGGCCATTTTACAAGAGGCCCGTTGCAGGTTCTTTTTTGGGGTAGGCCTAGGGGTACGTTTAGGGCTAGGTTTCTTCTTTATTGTGTTTGTTGGGGTGGTTGCTCGTTACTCGGAAGTCCTTCCTTATGACACCCACAAAATTGACAAACTTTAAGCTCTTATGGGGGGGGGGTTGCAAAATTTTTAGACAATCTGGTTGAGGCTCACATGCAGGTCTAAGTTATAGACTTGGGATAGCTAGACAGTAAAATGAAACAAATTAAAGCAAACAACTTGAAATTATGACAAATCCCACAACTTGCTGCAGATAGTATTAATGCCTTTTCCTTTCCTATGTAGAAGACAGCACGAAAAATACTGGCTAAAAGTACATGTAAAATATCGTGCCAAATACTGGGCAAAATACATACAAGTCTGAACAAATGTGTAGCCTAAGCACTTAGCATGCACACCCATCAACAATAGTTAGACGTACATAAACAAGCTTTCTTTACCCTTGTCAACTATTATACATTACTACATATATAAGGTGTCTAAAACTCAAAGAAGACACATTTACAGAGCAATAATTCATCCTTGCACCAGTTTTAATAGACTTCATGCAAATGAAATTTAACCAGGGGGAAATCAGATTCATCATAAAGAAAATCATAATCAATAAATGTGTTGAAGAAATATCAAGTTAAAAAAAATTAAGCATACTTGAGTGAAACAGTAAACTTTGCATCTTCTTAAAAATCAACCAATATAAATATTACAAATTTATATAAAACTGAAATGGGAAGTGAGTGAGGGAGCGAGAAGGAGAGAGAAAAAGTGAGAGAGAAAGAGACATAGAAAGACAAGGAGAGACGAGAGGAGAGAGAGAGAGAGAGAGAGAGAGAGAGAGAGAGAGAGAGAGAGAGAGAGAGAGAGAGAGAGAGAG